TTCATTAAAAAAAAAAAAAAAAAAAAAAAAAAAATCAATCACTGGGTAGGTTTTAAGTATGATTATTTGAAGCAGTAGCACTCTGTTTCAAAACCGGCTGAAAATTGTTACCTGCACGTTACTAGAAGTGCTGTTACAAATTCCCAGGCAGAAAGTTCATGCAAAGACCATGTGCATGAAGTCTACTAAACACCGCCCCCCCCCAAAAAAACACCCCTTTGTCTTATGTACAGGTTAATTATAACGCCAACTGGTTCATGTCTTTGTCTTTGGAAGTGCCTAGAGACAAGGCATTAATTAAAGCATCGCTCCCTTTATAAAAGCAATAATTTGCTCTAAGTTGGAAAAACATCACCTAAAAAACCCCAAACCAAACCAAACCAAACCATCAAATAATTTCTTCTACAGCTCTAAAAACCCAGCAACACATGGTGATGTTACTACAGTGCTGTGGTTTAGTACTTTTGAAAGTACTAAAGCATGGTGCATTACTGGTGGTTACTGCACCGTGCGCATGGTGTGTGGGTAGATTTTGCTGTTATGTCACCATAGTGGCACATTATAAATCGGGAGTACGCAGCTACAGAGACACAGCTGGTGATCATATGTAGGCAACGTGTAGATGTGCCCTTTACTGATTTAAATGAAAAGCCACCAATTCCAGTTCTGCTACACATAAGTTTCTAAGAAACAGTTATGGAGTTACAAGCGCGATGATACTGACTCACTCTCAAATAAGTAAATATGAATACAAACTGTACATGCAATTTTCTAAAAGCCTATAAAAAAAAACACAATGGCATGGTCATCACTAGGTCAGGACATTTGTTTTAGTAGCTGTAAAACAGAAAGACTGAATTTGATGCATGACACATTCAATTTATGCTTACAAGAATACTACCAAAAACCGAAAAACATTTAGAAACTGAATTGAGGATTTTTTTTACCTTCAGGATTGATCTGTGGTTCAAATCGTTCACATGTCACTGCTGTCAAGTCTCCAGGATCCAGACTCCAAATTCCAACTCCCTCTGCAGCTCCTGCTGCCATAGCAGCTCCTAGTGCTGTTGTTTCAGGCATTGATGGTTTTACTGAAGGAAAAAAGAGACACACCAGTTTTCTTTGTAAGTCAATTTGCATAATGAAATAGATCTACTTGGGCACTGTACACGTAGATTCCTTTAGACTTACTATATGCCCTCACGTAAATACAATGAACTGTTATCATATTAACTATACCTCTGACCCTTCCTGGTCCCTTTGGAATGTACTCCTTTTACTGCCTTGATCTAGCACCTCCCTGAGGTGAAGTCAGCCAGTTTCCCAACTCTGAGATCAAGCGTTGAACTGTGCTCTGCAGATGTTAACTGTGATTATGTTCAGTTCATGAAGCATGAAATCTCCAGAAGCAATGATCAGCAGGTGGGCTAATAGGATGAACAAAACAGAAGCAAGCCATTGCTTATGAAAGCTTATGCCTCTCTGAATTAGTCTATAACAGGGATGGCCAAACTGTGGCTTCGGGGTCACACGTGGCATGAGCAGCCTGTTTGCTGCATGTGACAGATCGAGAAAGGGACAGGCAGCACAGTGACAGAAAGCAGAGCAGCAGATTGGGCACAGGAACGTAACTGGAGCAGAACTTGTGGAGGGTGCCAACGTAATTTGTGACACATCTGCCAAAAGGGTTGGTTCCTACTGGTCTATAAAGGTGCCGCTCTGCCCTGCCTTCTCCCTGATTGCTTTAAGAAGGCTGCGCTAGTCTGAAAAGCATTTGAAATTAAAACAAGACCTGTATAATTTAGCAGAATACTGATGTCTAGCTTACCTTAGTAGGTAGTTTACACTAACAAGTTACCATCTCCCTTCAGTCCCAGTGGCATACAGTAATTTTAACTAACAAAGCTATATATTCCTAGTTTATATAGTCACATCAAGGAACTCCATGTCAGTCTTAACAAAATTAAAACAAGGGTTTGAAAAAGCTGCTTTAGTCTCATTGCTGCTGAACTTACCTAACCCTATTTGGGTTTTTTGTTATAACATGACAAGAACAATGCACTTAAAAGTACTCACAGTCAGTTGCTACTGAAGCAGAAGGCTTTGCACAATGCATACAACACTGTGTCCTGTTATTGCATTGTGCTGCTTGCAACAATGTTAGGTTTCAACAGTTTTGGACAATACACCTTTATTCTCCTCCGCTTGCCTCTTTCAAGGGGCACATGTCTATCTGTTTTTATACTACATCCATCATGTTGACTGAGCACCTTGCACAATTCATGGGTCTGCATTTGTTTAATCTTTTGCACACCTTCTTATTGCTACAGTATGAGATATCTTTTAAACCCCTAATTGCAAAAACTTTCACCTTTTCTTCTTCTACTGTCTTATGCTCTAAGCAAAATCGTGAAGCCATCCGTCCCTCCACCTAAACCCCACTGAAAAGTTAAGACGATACAAGGGGTGTGAGGGAAGGAGGGGCAGAGCTTACTACTAGCCACTGCCACTGCCCTGGTGATGGTATCCAGGGCACCTGAAACAACAGGGGCTCAATTTTGCAACAGACTGAGGAGCTGCAAATTCCAAGCAAGAGCTGTAAGGTTTAGACTGTCTACTAGAATAATATTAAAAAGTTTGCTTAACTATACTATATCTTAGACCTTTACTAAAAGGCAGTAGCATTTCATTAACAGAATTAAAGCTAGTTGGGTCTTCTTTAGAGTTCTGGATTTCCAAATGAAACTCCATCCCTTCTCCCCCAAACACCCGCAATCCTCAAATCAGACTAAAGACTTACTATAAAAATGAAGATAAAACCAAAATAACTCTCACACAGAATGGAGGATGGAGAACAAAAAGAAGTGAATAGCCTAGACAGCTACCTTACCTACTGGAATGCAGAGAATATCAGCTTGGAGCTGCATGAGAACCTTATTGTTGGTCATTCCTCCATCAACCTGTAACTGGCTTAATGGTATCCCACAATCCTTGTTCATGGCATCCAAAATCTGAAAAGGGAATATTACATTCCATATGTGTTACTATATGAGACTCATTTTAAATGAAAGGTCAGTTCTTGTTGAATTCCAAACTAATATGTATTCCCCCTTAAACCATGATGGGACTGTATTAAATGCTTAAAGCATCCCTTTCCCAAACTTTTTGAAAGGTAAAAGCCTTAGCTTCATTTTACAAGTTTTGTATGGCTTTTGCTGGTAAACTGAAGATTCCTTAAAAATGAACTACAGGGCAGTATCCAATTTTCCACTTACTGTTTTTCCACCAAAAGCCAGCCAAACACAGAAGTTTACGTCATTTTCGGTGTAGATTTTTTTGTACAACTAAAGATCATATGAAGAAGCACTCAGTGTTGTTCCCAAAGCACTCAATTTTATTACTCTTACACAGATGAATGTTCACTGAAGTCAGTGGATTATTATGGTGGTGGCCAACTCATTTAACCCCATGCCAGACTCGTGGCAATTAATGCTGCCACTACTCATTCTGCTGCCAAACTTCTGGATCAGTGCAGAGTCTGTGGGCTGGGTGATACTACTCCATGGACAGATCCAGCCCCTGGGCCATATCTTAGTTACTCCTGAGCTATTACAACTCCATAAAGCTCTAGGCTGGGGCCAGAACATTACTCTGGAAATCAGTCAAGTAAAAATGCAATGTAAAGGGGGAAGAAGTACAAATGGGCTTGTCCTGTTGAATTTGGCATAGATCTACTTAAGAGGTCATCTTTCCTGAGTCAGGAAAAATCTCATGTCCCATACGGGGATTGAACCCACAGCCTTGACAGCATAAGCACCACACTCTAACCAGCTGAGCTTATCAGGTACTAAATTATTTGGGCAAGAAAGAAGCATGTGACAAAAACTCAAAGATTTCTCAATGATGGTCTTATAGATAAGTGACTCTTCAATGCAACACTTTATTGTAGAGGGAGAATACTTCTAATTTCAATTGAAAATGAGGCACCTGGATATTCTGCACAAGAGGAAGGTAGACTCAATTTATGACTTTAGTTCAATAATTAGATGCACCCAACCAGAGGCAGATCCAGGACTTCCCGAATGGGGGTGAGGCAGCAGCAACCTGTACTGTAGGGGTGGCTCCTGTGGCCCCACCAGTGTGGGTAGATTAAGTCCCTAAAGCCAGTGAAAATCCCTCCCTCATTTCCTCTTCCTGCTTAGAGGCATGCCTCCTTCACTCTTGCAACTCCCTTACTTGCTGCTTCCTCCACTGCCCTGGGGCAGGGAAGCTCCAGAGTCAACTGGGCTGAGCAGGGGCTGGATTCAGCTGGGGAGGGGACACAGACAACAGCATGGCAAGAGAAGAGTTCCTCTCACCCTGCCCAGAGCAGGGGCAGGGGACCCCCTTTTCCACCCTTGCTGCTGCTCCTGTCCCTAGCTGAGCTCAGCTCCAGCACAGTGGGCAAGAAGGGCTTCAGTGTTTCCCCACCTGGGGACAGCAAGGAGTCAGGTGGGGAAGGGATTTTTCCATGCTTTGAAACACTTAAAGCCTCTGGAGACTCTTACGGTATAGTGCAATTCAAAAAAAAAAAAAACA